CATGATTTGTTTGTGTACAAACTAATATGGTTTCAGAACTTTATATATTTAAACTTCACATTCAACCACAGTTAAATTCCACAGTTTATATGGATAGTTTTTATTTTTTACAATAACAAGCTGGAATGAAAACAGGCAATAATGAAATAAAAGTAACAACTTTCTACTTCTTGCCATATTTAAAAATGTAAGGAGTAGAAAGTACTGATAAATGTGTGAAAATGTAAGAAGTAGAAGAAAAAGTACACTGAAAAATAATTACTCAAGTAAAGTACAGATACCCAAAAATTCTACTTAAGTACAGTAACAAAGTATTTGTACTTATTTACTTTACAACTCTGTTTAAATCACTGCATAAACCTTTAAAACGGCWCAAAAAGCCAAACTCTTTGATTTAAACAAACTCAGGTTCAAACATGAAATATTCTAATTTTCTTCATCTAAACTGACTGAAGTGTGACAGAAATAACAACTACATTTAAAGGAGGAAGCCACAGATGTTCTGTTGATAAATGTAAGCTGAAAGTGAATTAAAAAAAYACCCACCTAAAATTAAAAAAATTAAATTCGTCTCACATGAAATGACAAAGCCCATAAATTACTTCTCCAATCCTCACTTAGCTGAAGTTTTGTAAAGTTCTGTTTTTGTTGGAGCATCAGCTAAAATAAAACTCTTTAAACAAAACATCCTWTATCTTTTATGACTGACCTACGCAGGTAAAAGAAAGCACTCCGACAAAGCAGTCCCTGAGGTAAGCAGCCATTTGTTTCATTAAAAGATAAACTCTCCMTGTTTACAGATCAAACTGAACAGAAACATCAGAAATCTAAAACTGACTGCAGAAAAAGGTTTTGCTTCAGCTGCAAAGCTTTTTAAAGGGGACATATGCAAAAATCCACAATACATTATGTTGTGTACTTAGAGTTGCTAAGAGTGCAGAAAAAATGAACTGGGTCAGACTTTGGCTCTAACATTAGGCTGGATGGACAAGCCTGCCCTTCTTGACAACTTTTATTTAATTATTAAATAAAAGTTTCTGTATAGTTGCAAAGCCCTCCATCAAACTAGAATGGACCGCTATGGAAGCTGGAGGGGGGCGGGTGTGACCCGCCTGGTTTAGATTTAAAGAGACAGCCTCAAAACGAGTTGACCCGAGACACACCTCAGAAAATGGGCGGGGCTTGTGAAGTTACAATAAGAAGGAAAAAGAAGCATTGCAGTTCCACTTTATACAGACCCCAACTGAAGGATTTAAAAGCATCATATGTCTCCTTTAAAGCACGATCCAGCACATTATGACTTTGCAGAATTTCTAAATAATCTTCAGCTGCTTTAACGCCGACGCTTCACACAGTCTGCTGAAGCTGAWTCAGCTACAGGAGCTTGTCTTGTTCTTATTTGTGCTGCTTTCTTTYGGTTTTATCTTTCAATTTGAATATTTCACCTGCAGCACCCGTTTACACTGTAAGTGAACAAACATGGTTTTGTTTTTAACAAAAACATATTTTTCTAGAGCATCAATCCAGATCCTAAAAATCCTGCAGGAGCTGCTTCAGGTGTTTCAACAGAACCAAACCCTGTCCTGTCCCTCAGTCGTCTGGCACAAGAAGAGGAGAGCAGACAGCAGCCAGCACGGATTAACAGAGCATCAAAACCAAACTCTGCAGCTTCTGCAGTCAACAACTGAAAAACTAATATGTTTTGTGTTTTAAAGGATTAAAAAAATGAAAACTGTRAATACAGAAAACTAGATTTCTATCATGATCTGATGCACTGCAGCAGCTTTCATCACATGAAGAGCTTTAAGTAAATATGAAACTTTTTACTAAAATTTTGTTTATAGCAGTTTTGTATAACTATGAAAAAAAATCATAGAAGAAAATCTTATGAGGAACAAAACCTGACTGAAAATCCCAAATTACAAGTTTGAAGATTAAAAGAGCAGAAACAAACAGCAGTATCTTCAGTGATGGGATAAAACTGCAGGAAATTATTTTATCTAAATAAATTTAGTGTTTTCTTTTGCCATCTGGACAAACTTCAGAATAAAATTGTGTTGGACTGATTAGTGTTGTTACATTTCAGGGTCACTGAAGGCAGAATAAAGACTGATTTGCTGATTGAACTTTAGGTTTAGAGAAACATTTAACTGTAAAAGAAAAACAAAACAAAAACAAAAAAACAAACAAACAAACAAAAAAAAAACATTTAACTGTATTGTTCATGTTTCCCATCACCTGTAATATTTATGTGTTCAGTTTTTTTCATTTAGATTCTTTGTTGTCCTGCTGTTTTCAGTTTAATGTGAAAGTTWTTGTTTTTGCTGATGAAGATTTTATATTTTAGTTTTTTCTTTAWTGTTTTCTTTTGTGTGTTACTGCAGCTGCTCAGCATAATGTAAATTACTGAAACMTATTGAAGAAAAGTGTAAGTCATAAACGTCAGCAGTACATGTTTAATCATGTTTAATCATGTTTACATGTGAGAGCAAGTTTGAATTATGGCCTAAAGGGCCTCTCATGTCTGCCTGTGTAGGTTATTTTGCTAATGTATTTGCCTTTTTTTAAAATAAATTTTAACTTAGCATAAAAATGTTTTTTATTGAAACATGTTTTGTTATTTTAAGTTTCCTAAATTCAAGAGAATTTTTTTTACTAATGAAACTAGCTATTTTTACCCCTTTGTGCTGATAAAACATTGGATTGTAAATTTTACAAAATAAAAAGTTACTTCTTAAGATCTGATTATGATGATGCCTTTATTGTCATTGTACTTGGCACAATGAAATTACATTTAAGAACACCCAATCAAGAAGACACACATGACAAAAACATGGGGGCGCAGGTGATCAGGTCATATACCTTTACAAAGAAAAAAACGAAATACAACAGAAGGTTAAATGAAGAAAAACAAAACAAAACATCATATTAAATCAACAAAATATAATAGATTTGAATGTTACTTTTTTCATTAGTATCATTTTTTAAATCTAAAAAGCAACAATGCAATATTAATGTGCTTGCGTTATATAATATATGGAAGAAAAATTCAGAATTACAACATATCTAGTTTTTTAGTTCAGCTGTGGGACTCAGTTACTGTCTGCATCTCAGCAACTTCCTTTTTTACAGTTTTATTCGAACACTTCCTCATTTCTTGTTATCTGTGTGTCACATACTCAACACATAGGAACGTTTTTTAGGCAAAATATTTTTAAAGCAATTCAACGAATCTTTAAAATGTCAGATTCAGAACACGTCACAAAACTGAAACAAATCATGTCTGTTTTTATCATTTTATTCTCATGTAATTAACTTGTATATTTTTATTTAATAGAATTTAATGACATATTTCTAAGGCCTCTTTTAAAGTGTAATGTAAGTAAACATAGTATTGTTTCTGTAAAATAGCTTCATATGTAATTTCCTGGTTTTATTTTTTACTGAAGCAGTGAAAAATGTCAGRTTCTGCTCTGCTGCCACCTGGACATTAACAAGAAGCAATTCTGAAGGTTCATATATATGTATGTGTTTGTATATATATATATATATATATTAGTTTAGCCTTATTTTATTTTCCTAGAGTTTTTAACAGGGTAGAYGTGTATTCATTAAAACAATTTTWAATAAATATATCTGTGACAGGTCCACGCAGTTTAAAAATAGAAGCACAACRTATAAAAGTTTAACAAGGTCAATGAAGGGAAATGAAATTGCCTGAGTTTTATATCCATGSCCTTTGCATGCATGGTGCACCTTCATCCACTCATTAATAATTCACAGAAAGCAGACATAAGTGAGGGTTTTATGAGTAAAACGAAGGACTCTTCTGACTGAATACATTCAATATTCGGATTAAATTATGACTGAATTACCAAGCAGGGATTGGAGCAACGGATTGGAGCTTAAAAAGTCACGGAGCTGCTCCCCGAGTTTACTGAGGCTAAACGTTTTACAGYTAATTTTTTGAAGACGGGGATGTTCACTGATAAAATGACAGGTTGAAAAGTCAAATTTCATTCCTGGTCCTAAAATCAAACTCAGACAGATGARACAGAGTCATTAAATTAGGACAGTTGTCGGCCCATTGCTAAGTGGATATGTTTAATGCAAAGCAAAGTTACGCCCTTGGATCAAAGCATAAACTGCAGAGAAACATTCAGGTCGGAAGAGTTTTTATTAAAGGTTATAGCTTCGTTTTAATTTGGGTTTCATCACGTGTTCACATAAAGCAAACTGCAGACGTGATTCAACACAAATTAAATGTTAAATAATTTTAGAAAAAGTTAGAAAAACAATCTGAGACCAGTTTTTGTAAGAATATTGTAAGTAAGGTTTGTTTAAACCTTAAATAAAATGATTTTAATGCACATGATGGCTTGACTAGAACAGTTTAGTCAAATAAAATGAATAAAGAGATTTTAACCCTGATAAATTATATTAAATTTTATTAGGAAATAAATGAGTAAAGAAGACAACAGCACAAAGGAATGAATAAAAAGCAAAAATAAACAAGAAAAAATAAGAGAATACAAAGAAACATGCCTTCTTAGTTGTCTTTATTTGAAGTGATTTTCCTCCACAAACCAGACAAAAGTCTCATTAAAAATCAAGTCATATCCGAAGCGTCTGTCTCTTTCCATCTGTCTGTGACCCAACAGACCACATCAGCTCAGTCACACCAAGGAYGCCAGTTATGACTCACATTATCCTCCAGATCAGTAATAAATAATTTCCTACRTCCTAATTTCCTCTCCGTCCTCTCKCTGCTGCTTTCCACRTTCTCACCACGAGATGGAGACGAGCTCAAGCAAAAAAAAGCCCCTCAGAGTCTGCATGACAGCTTCCATCCCTCCAGACAAAGCCTGTGACATCATCAGCAGGGGGACAGAGGGTGTGCGAAGGACAAATGTCTTGAAATGTATTACATCATTTTCCACTAATATGATAATATATCTGAAGCGGGCAGAGCGGTGTTAACCATGAGAAGGGCCATAATCCCTACAACGGCCGCTTCAAATGTGAACAAGAGGATCAAATGAGAGAGGAAGAGGAGGAGGGGGTCTACAGTGCAGAGGGGAGTGCAGCGATGAAGGTTATTCCAGATATTAGTCCTCAATGAGAACAGGAGGAGAAAAAGACCATAATCACTTCTTCACACTAAGTAAAGGGAAGCTGTTAGTCGTCGTCTTTCTTCTGTCCTTGTCCCTTTTTCTTGTGTCTGTAATTGATTTCCTGCAGTTCTCATATTTTCTGTCACTGAAAGACAAAATGAACTGAGGAGAGGAAAAATAAAAGACAAAGATTGTTGCTGTAGAGGAGAGAAATGTCATAAAAAGGTGAACAGGTTTTCATAAGGGAAGAAAATGATGAAAAGAGGAAAACCAGCAGATATAAAGGCTGCAAAATCTRAAAAAATTGAAGTTATTAAATGAGGAAAAGTAATGAAAACAAATCGGAGAAGGACTGACAACGATCTGAAGGGAGAGACGACGAAAAGGCAAATAAGTTAAAACAGGAAATAAAGGAGAATGATGAGGAGAGAAAAAAGGGAAAATACAGAATAAAAAAGAAAGGGTCGCAGCAATGTAAAAAATGGAAACAAATATTAAATATCCAGCAATGATGGGTGAAAAAGAGGAACTCATGGGAGGTCAAAGGTTGACAGACTGAAGCAACAAAGAGTTAAAACAACAACAACAAAACAAACAATTACTCTTTACAGTGAAGAGCAACACCTTGTTAATTACCGTCAGTATTTTGGTTTATGTTTATCTTCAAAGGCAGCATTTTATTTTGAAAGGCTTAACCTCAGCAAATAATCTCTTGTTTCTGGTCTCAGATGTGTCACATTTATACAAATTGTTTGTTTTGAACCCAGAAGAGCACACAGGYTTGTGTGACGCTGGCTTCATCTGTAATGGAAGTTCAGGTTCAGCTCTGGTTGAGTGAATTCACACMGAGCGGTTACCTCATACCCAAAACGTTTTGTCTGTACGCAGACACACACATCCACCTCACACTGAGCTGTCAGGTCAGTGTGACAGTGCAGGTCTGCTGACCTGTGATCATTTTAACAGGTTAAATCCTTTTGAGTTGGACTTTTTCTCGATTTCTCTGATATGGAACWTAAAGGAGACATCGGATGCTTTTAAATCTTTCTTTTTCACTTTTAAATCCTTCAGTTGGGGTCTATATAAAGTAGAACTGTAATGCTTTGGTCTGAGTTCCTCCTTCTTGCAATGCCACAAGCCCCGCCCCTTTTATGGGGTGTGTCTTAGATCAACTCATTTTGAGGCTGTCTCTTTAATCCAAACGAATTTGGAAAAAATATGACCCAAACAGAATATAAAGGTATCTTTTCAGCAACCAAAGAGACTAAATGAAACTTTTCTGCACTCCTAACTCCAAGTACACAGCAAAATGTATTTAATGACTAAAAAAATGGATTTTGCATCATATGTTTGAAGGAGTGTGTTTAATAGTTTGTTAAAAAGTTTCATAAAAACAAAAACTGGCTCTTCTTCTGCTTCTTTAGACCAGTWGGAGGTCCTACAGCTTGGATTCAAACTACCAAACAAAGAGGTATCAGACAAGTGTTTAAGTCTATCTGAATGCAATCTAAACACCAATAACATTTTTAATGACTGGTCTGAACAACCCCTGATTGTGTTTTTTTTGGTACAATAGTAACTTTTAGAGAGAATAAAAGCAGCCACAAACTTTACTGTAAGAGTTTTTAATAGAAGCTCGAATCAAACTGGATGCTTGATCTCTGCAACAGAAGGACACCTATAACTGAGAGCCGTGTTTACAGATACAAGTGTGAAATAAAAAAAAGGCTGGGAGAATTTCAGTACTCATAAATGAAAAGACGGAACAAAAGGGCAAAGAAATAAAAAAGAGACGACAGAGCGTATGAATAAAACAGGAGGAGAGAGAAGGTGAAMGAAATTAAAGGAAAACTGCTGAAGAGCCAGGAGTGGAGGTGAGGAGAAAAATGAACGAGGGTCGAGCTGAGRAAAGGAGAAGAAATGAAGAGACGAAGGGGGAAACTAAGAGTGGAGGAGTAACATGGGAGAGATGCTGAGGAGAAATGGGTTWGAGCTCTTCAAACAAATGAAAAAAATGCATCAAAAGCTGAGGAACGACGTGACAAAGAGAGAGAAAGAATGGAAAGTTTGAGAAAAAAGAAAAGGAGATTGGAGGACAAGATGAGACAAAGAGGCTGAGAAGATGGAAGAAGAGAAAATTCGGCTAGAAGAACTAAAGTAGCAAAAGAAGTGATGTTTAAAAAGATGACGGGAATAAAAGAGAAGGAACATTTGATCAAAAGAAGCAGAAATTCATTTTAAATGAGAGACAATCTGCAGATGTTTGCAGTCTGATGTTTGATGTTTGCTACCTTTCATTTWATTTTGATTTGTATATTTTTTTGGTTTTCATTTATTTTTTATTATTGTATATAGTAATTTTTTAATGAAATGAATAAATTTTTGAATTGAGGTTAAATTGAGGTTAGGTGGTTTTGTGTCTCACATTCAGGACTTCATGTTAAACATAGACACAAACTGTGACAACAGTTTGAGTTCAGTCAGTCCGACCTGAATAAACAGCAACTAAAATACACAAAGTCTACTTTAGAAGTGCCATGCTGTATAAATTCAAGACCAAATAAAACAGAATTTGCAAACGTCTTTATGAAATCGTGTCATCTTTTATTTTCTGATACTGTGAA